CTAGGAGCTAATTGGTCTATAGAAGAAGCTTTAGAACGATTGGCAAATATGCCCGTAGGAAATCAAGCAATGTTAGTAGACGCTATTAAGGAGTTAGGAGTAGGATTACAAAAAAAGCAGCAGCCTCACAGAGTCAGGTGTTAGCTGCTCTTGCGCCCCTACAAGCAGTGGCAACAAATACTCCTCGGGCTTCATCTGCCGGCCGATTCAAATGTTACTGGTATGGAGGCATGGGACATACGCAACGGGCTTGTCAAGCAGCCAGCGTCTGGTGCCAAAATTGTCTCTTGGATACCCACAACACCGGAACCTGCTGACACTGCTTGGGAAACGGGAAGGCCAGCGCGTCCACCAGCCACCGCACCCAGACACAAGTAGCTGCTGTCAACACCTCAGCCCAGCTTCCCTTCAACCAGCCACCACCGGGAGCCTTGGGTTGGACGTGGCAGCCTCAGTAGCAGTAACATTGATGACCATCCAACTGGAAAAGGTTCCAACTGGAATAAAGGGACCAATCATCATTGATGGACAACCTATGGGAGTCAGCCTATGGGAGACAACTTTGCTTCTGGGACGATCACCAGCCACCACGATGGGATTGTTTGTTTTACCTGGGGTAATAGACACTGATTATACGGGGGAGATTTGTGTCATGGTGCATACTCCTTTTCCGCTAATACAAATTGAGAAAGGACAGAGGATAGCTCAATTGGTTCCATTGGAACAAATGACTAAACCTTTACCCCCTTGTCAATCACAGTCGAGAGGGGAACGAGGATTTGGTTCCACTGGAGGACTCACTCTATTAACAATGAACCTGAATGATCGACCAAAGCGCACTGTAATAATAGAGTATCGGGGTGGGAGGCAAACCTTGGAAGGTTTATTGGATACTGGCACGGACTCCAGCATTGTTAGTCCACATTTCTGGCCCCACAACTGGCCATTACAGCCAACCACAGTGACAGTTACAGGGGTTGGAGGCCTAACGCTTGCAAGAAAATCGCCGATGTTATCCATAACTACTGATGGAAAAACTTTGCGGAGTGTTTTCTCAATTGTACCTTTGCCCCCTACTATACAGTGCCTTATTGGTCGGGACATTTTGGCTCAAATGGGAGTAGTGCTGACAAATGAGCACCCTTTGGGCTAATGGCCATTGCATGGACTTTTCCAATCCCCCTAACTTGGACCATGGATGTTCCAGTGTGGGTTAAGCAATGGCCGTTAAAAAGGGAAAATCTGGAACAAGTTCATATACTAGTACACGACCAATATAAGCAAGGCCATTTATAGTTGTCAACAAGTCCATGGAATACCCCTATCTTTGTTATTAAAAAGAAGTCAGGGAAGTATCACTTACTACATGATTTGCAGGCTGTAAATGAACAAATGGACCCTATGGGAGCCTTACAACCAGGTTTGCCTAACCCAGCTATGTTGCCAAAGGACTGGCCACTTTTGATTGTTGATCTTAAGGACTGCTTTTTTACTATTGCTCTTCACCCTCGAGACACTCGGAGGTTTGCCTTTACCTTACCGGCTTTAAATACAGAAGAGCCAGACAAGAGAGTTGAATGGATTTCTCTTCCACAGGGAATGCGCAACAGCGCCACCTTGTGTCAACTGTATGTTGACACTGCTTTACAACCTTTACGACAAGCCTGGCCTGAAACAACCATTTATCATTACATGGATGATATTTTATTTGCGCAACCGCAACCTTTTACAGGTCAACAAATTCAAGAAATACATAATGCTCTGAAACTACATGGACTGGTTGTAGCTCCTGAAAAAATTCAATTATCTGCACCCTGGAAATATCTAGGATGGACACTTACCAATCAAATTGTTACCCCCCAGAAACTGCAATTAAATGTTAAAATACATACATTGCATGATGCTCAAAGGTTACTTGGCGATCTGCAATGGCTGCGCCCTATTGTAGGCATCCCAAATGAGCTATTAGATGAACTTCGACCTTTGCTGAAAGGAACTGATCCGGCACAGCCTGTCCATATAACCTCTGAGCAGGTTAAGACACTTCAACAGATACTGGACTGTGTGACACAAGGCAGTGTTCAGAGATGCAATCTTAACCTCCCCATACAGCTGACAGTTTGGTGTGGAACTACATTTTTACTGGGTGCACTTACTCAGCAAGACAGAAAAATGGGGGAGGTGTGGGCCTAGGAATTTAGCTTGTATTAAGTGTCAAAATAGACAGTGTGCTGCATGGGTATTGCTTTTTTGCTTGCGGGGGTTGTCAGGAAACTAAGTGGGTCCATCAGTCCCAATTACCCGATTTATGGTGCAGGAGCTGTGATTTCTATTGGCAGTTGAACTCCTGGCAAAGAGAACTTAAGGCATTTACAGGGTTACCTGGCTGCCAAGGGTTACAATTGTATGAATCCCCAGAACAGAAAATTCTTGCATGGTTTAGGTGGGAAACCCAGCACTTAGTCAAACACGCTTTAGGGCAATCTCAGTCGTGTATTTTACAGTCTAAGTGTGGTGGGGGTATTCCCCTGTCACAGTCAAGTATAATAGTTCCAATTTCAGGAGATCAAGATCCCAACCAAGCATGGGATGATTGTTTAAGAGACCTAAAGAGATTAAGTCTAGGCAGATCAAGGAGGAAAAAGGGAAAAGGAAAGAAGAGATATTCTTAATGATTTGTGAGAAACAATCTTGAGAGCCAGTGAATCCCAGCCAAAGAGAACAGGTGGAGGGAAGATTTCCTCCACACTGCTTTAAATACACAGGACACAGATTAAAGTCTTTATACACCAGAGAAATACTGCCTTAGTAGAGATTTTTCGGGAGCCGATTTTTCTGGTTTGAACTGTTCTACCAATGAGAAGGGTAGGAAAGAACAGACCAAATTATTGCTGTGACCACAAGCTGATAATGGAGTATACAACTGCAACTCCAACACAGTTTTTACTTTCATAAATAGAAGCTGGGTAGGAGTATGTTATTTTGGTATCTAACAAGAGAAGAAGGAGGATTAGAAGTGTTCTGACAAACCCCTTTTATTTCCATTAGAAAATACTGACTGCAAAAATGAAAATATTACCAGAAAACGCTGTCTCAAGAGGCTGTCACCAGCATCAGAATATATAAGAGCCAGATGCTCAGAGCTTGGAGTGGCCTGTTAGACCAGAACACTCTATGTCCTTTTTCTGCTAGTTTTTAGTAATAGGACTGCAACCACCTGACAGCACAAAGGGTTTATAGGGATTGTCTGACTCAGCACAAAATGAGATGCAGATGCTCAACAGTAATTTTTCTGACAACACAAGAGAATGACTGCACTCTATCCAGAAAGCAGGCACTATCAGTAGAAAAAGCACAGAAACAGCTTACTAACAATTGAATGAAAACTGCCTGAAATAAGTGAAAAGTAGCATGTATAACTTATATGAGGTGAGCATGAAAAATTGAACTAACATAAGATGAGAGGTTTAGGTTTGTTGCTTGTTTCTGTGTTAAGTTTCAGCTGTTATATTGCCATTTCTAATCTGACAAAAAACAAAGCTCAAAAATTAGGTCATATACACCCAGAGCAACTCAGTCACTGATATATTTACAATCATCACAAGGTAACTCAAGAAAACCCATTTTGTTGTATTGCTTCAGACACTGCACCTGTAACTTTCTTTTACTGAGGTGTAGCACATTACAATTCTCACAGGTTCAAGCTGCAAACACACTTTGAACAGACACTGCAAAATGGCAGTCTTGCATTTGTCTCAATTTCTACTCTTCGAAGTTCAGGTAAGGATGGACACTTCCCCTCCTGCACCTACTTTACTGTCTGTTGCTCTAGGGTTTAGCCAAGGAGAGAGGATGACGCGCACGTCTGTCAATTCAGTGTAGCTTCGGAACCAAACAGCGTGGCTTTTTGTCTTTAACACTGAGTCCACCAAACAATAGTTTGTATTAACTCAGGTATTGCCCTTTTGCAAGTTTCTGCCTTTCAGCAACCTTACCCTCCTACAAAAAAATTGAAACTTAACCCAGACACAGGAGTAACAGAATTCAGTTAGCTTTGAGTTGCACCATTAAAACCTAAAATATGTTTTCAGCACATTTATAACAGCTGTATTTGAGCTGCCTTACTGAATGCCAAGGTGAATACTCATAATACTTGAAATTAATACATGAAATGTCCACCAATTAATTGCTGAAAACCATCTTTGTCAAATCCTTGAAAAGAGTATTTTGATCTTGTCTTAGGTTGCAAATGCAAGATGTGGCTGGGGGTGTGTATTCCATTGCCATCTGTTAGAAGTGGGGCAGTTATCGTCTGTTAATTGGGCAGTTTTCTTTATCTCTTCCACAACCAATCCTCTCTCCAGGAAATATCCTCTGTTAATGGGCCACTGAGTCTCACTGCATGACTGAAAAAATCACATCATCCAATTGCTTTGCCCAGGGGGAGGAGCCAAGCATTCCTTCCAATATACAATCTGAGAACACAACAGGCAGCCTTTTCCCACTGGATTCCCAGAGGTATACCAAGCCCTACACCACCACTGGACCGTCAGAGGAAAACTGTCCCCTTCTACAGGATCCCTGCTCCAACAGAATCACACCTGTCTCTGCAGGAGGACTGCAGCCACCATTTAATCAGACTGCTACCAACACACTGACCTACCGGGTGTCAGGTCATATTCTGACTCTGTCAGTGGTTTTTGTATGACTCCTTTTTTTATTTCTATTTTCCCTAATAAAGAACTGTTATTCCTACTCTCATATCTTTGCCTGAGAGGCCATTAATTTCAAAATTAGAATAATACAGAGGACGGAGGTCTACATTTTCCATTTCAAGAGAGGCTCCTGCCTTCCTTAGTAGACATCTGTCTTTTCAAACCAAGACAGATCTACAGAAATCCACCATCTGCCAAAACCAAAAGTTTGTAACAACAGATGTGTAAAATGTATTTTCAGGGATTCTTTTTGAAGAAGTAATGAAATGAAGATGAATCATCACATTATCATAAAAAGCAGTTTTATCACTTTCACAAATTTACAAATATACATGTTGTTATAATAACCGCTGGAAAAAGCCATAGTTCTTTAGAACAAAAAATAGATACAGATAATTCAAGTATATATTAAAAGTAATAAAAAAATTTTAAAAATATCATTTGCTCCTACTCCACTGTTCATCCCTCTGTAATCATCTTGTTCAGAGGTGCATCAGTTAGAGCAATGGCTGAATAAACTAATTAGATTCATGCAAGAATGACAAAGATACAGCAATTTTTAAAAAGATATCAAGAGATCATACAGATACAGGAGCAGGGTGCTCGTGAATACAGCCAGGACAGCAGTGCAGCGAATCATGAATAAACAGATCGCATTCCACACAAAATGTGTTCTGACACACTTTGCATATGTACACCTGTGTGGGAAGGATAGAAACGCAAGTCAAATTAGCAAAACTTATCATCATCGCACTACAGTAGGGCAACAGTTACATCATCATGATAATGTAAACAGACTGCACTGCTAGCATCACAGAAACTCAACTGAATTAAATCTTCTGGCAGCAAATGTATTCGCAGGCTTGAGCTCAGGTAAATGCTCACTGAGCTCACTGTAAATGCTTCCAAATGGCTGAGTGTAAATCCTTCCAAATGGGAAGCTTTTTTTTTATGCAGCTCCCTAGGAAATTACTTCCCACACTTCTAAAGACTTTGTAGTCTATAAATTGTGACTGCTTAACACCTAAGTCTAATTAACCATGACATTAACTTTCATAAATATTCTTCTGGTGTTCAGAATATAATTCTAAAGGACCACCTCTATTTCTCACACCCCTCAATGCAAGTTACAATGCCATTCAACATACTTACATTTTGATCTTTCATTTCTCCCTGGCAGCCTTGACAATACCTAAAAGAAAAATTTTGTATTTTAACTGAAAAAAAAAAAGAGTCAAGACTGTGTAAATCAACGTTTTAAAAAATATCTCATACATAGTAACAATTTCTGGGAATTACTTCAGCTATTCAACTGAACTCACAGATCATGGAAACTACAACTACTTCTTAATGCCAGAGATGCCCCACACCACCCAAACACCCAGGATCTTCAGCAGCAAAACAGCCGTTGCCAGCTATTCTTACTTTTGTGACAAAAAAGTTATGGAATCCACAAGCACACTCATTATCACAAGTAAGATTTGCATACCGTTCCCCTTTGTATTCTTCCAGTGGAACTTCCTGAAAGGCATCTAAAGGAAACAAGTGATGGTAAGACCGAGCCAGGTGAGGTGCAGACACTAACGTAAGACCTGCAAACAGACACCAAAATTGTTACAAGGGAAGATGTACTGAAAAGCTTTTCTGTATAAAATAACGTAAAAAGGAAAAATAATATTTTTAATTACTCAGAGGTTGAGAGCTTTTAAGAACTTTAAAAAGTAAAATTACTTGTTCCATTACCTGAACCTGTAATCCAGTTTTAAATCCAAACACAAAGAACAAGCAAATTGATAGAATTTCTACTGAAAAGGTTTAACTCAGCCTTCAGAAATACATTTACAACACACAGTGGTGAAGTTAGGAAGCTCCTTTTGGCAATGATGGCTCCACTGTATCACACTACCAGCTAAAATGACACTCTGTTACAAAGCTCTACTACAGCTTGCTATACTACTGCCAAAACCACGCCACAGCCCCATTTCAGCTAACACTGGTCTGCTGGTGTTAAAACAGTTAGTTTTTGTCACACTACCTATCATGTGGCTGTGTTTTGATTCTATGCTGGAAACAAGGTTGATTAGGCAGGAATGTTTTCACTACTGCTGAGCAGTGTTTACACACAATCAAGGCCCTTTCTGTTTCTCACTCCACCAGTGAGTAGGCTCGGGGGTACACAAGGCATTGGGAAGGGATACAGTCAGGATTGCAGTCAACAGTCCACCAAGAGAACAAAGGGATATGCCATACCATGTGGCATCATGTTCAGCCTATAAAGCTGGGTGGAGAAGGTGGAAAGGGGAGAATGTTCAGGATGATGGCACTTACTTTCTCAAGTAACTGTTACCCATGACAGAGTCCTGCTTTCCTGGAGATTCTACTGATGGGAAGTGGTGGATGAATTACTTACTTCGCTTGTCTTGTGTGCACAGCTATTGCTGTAACTTTTCAATTGCCTTTAATGCCACCTGTGAGTTATCTCACTCTTACTCTTCTGATTCTCTCCCCATCTCACCAGTGTATGGGAGTGTGTGGGGGGAGTTGACAGCTGGGGTTAGACCATGAGAACAGGTGGGGCATGGGCTGGCACAACTGTCTCACTCACTCACTCGTACTGTAAATGTCCAAACTGTTGTTCTCCTGATCACTGCAGCTGTGGAGAATCCACTGCAGATACACAGGATTTCTCCAGTTACACTATTCCCTTGCTGGAATGAAACTCATGCCGGTGGGAAAAACTTGAAATTAAACTAGGATAAAGTGACCCAAGCCCATAATTATTTCATCCTGTTGCCAAATACAGGCATCCTGGTAATACCTATTGTGTTTCAGTCATATGCCTCTGGAAGCTAGGAGAACAGCACCCCCTCACAATATTAATATTATAAACCACACTAATCCCACCCTCACTAGGAGCAATGGAGAGAGGCATCATGGGCTGCACAGTCCATTAACATTTGCAAGACCAAAGGGCTCCCATTTACAACTCTACAGCTGTCTTGCGTCACTGTGCAGACTGCCCTTGGGTTCAATTTGGAAATCTTCCACCCACATACACATGGAGGGGAGAGTACTTCTGTCCTCCTGCTCCAAAGCTCTCTATTTTCATGGCCTTGCACTGAGGACTCTGAAACATGAGTGTGGTAAGTTAAATGAGGATTCTTGAGAAGTTATCATTCCCATGTGCATCGCCTCTCTTCCCTACTTTGCCTTAGGTATATTCCTTATACCAAGGGATATGATACAGCTTTACTGTTACAGGTATAGGCCTGAGAGACATTTGTATGAAGCTGACATCCCAGGTCACAGAAATGCAGGACTCTTTAAGCAGTGATGGCTTTTAATTAGTAAGTATAGCTGAATTTTAATACCCCTTAACTCTCTTACCACGAACTCGATTCATTTGCTCATCTCTTCTTACTACTTACCACAGATTTTGCATTCCACAGGAAGCTCACAGTATTTGGCTCTGCACTGAGGACAAAAATATCCACCCAGTGTAAGACCTGGGTCACTGTTATTTTCCAATTGCCTATAGCAGAAAGAAACAATTCAGTACTTAAGAAATAATACCATGCTACTACATAAGTACAAATAAGGTTTTCCATCAAATAATTTAAAAAGTTTCACTAGATTGCATGTAACAGTTTAATGTATAAGTGTCAGAAAACAATTGATATGGACAGATATCAGTGACCACATTTTCTCACAGGAACCAAAGACCAAATATTTCCATATAAAGGAGCCAATCTTTAAAAATAAAGATATGAACAATAACTGCATGCTTGTTTCTTTTTAGAGACAAAAACATTCTATTGCCTCTAAGATGCAATATAACTATTCTTTCAAATAGCACATGCTGTTAGACGTTGTTTCATTCTGAAATTCAGACTCCCCTATCACCCTGGAAAACAATGATTCTCTTCATTGAGAAGTGCACTGGTACAGTCATCAAATGAGGTCTCTATTTTAAACTTCCCTTTAAAGTCATGTTAAGAAATACATAAAAAATATTTTATTCAGATAATACCCTTCCATCCTCATAATTATCTTTTATAATGACAGTAGTATTTAATTCAAGAGCCGCAAGTAATTACTTAACACCTTTTAGCTCTGTGTGCCCCAATCAGTGTGTAATAGAACTAAGTACCATTTACTACCTTGAAAAAACTTAAATGCGAATTTTAAAACATATTTAACAGAGGATACTGTTAATACTGGAGCTACTAATGGAAATAAAATGTCTACTGAGAAGTCACAAGACATGGCTTAGTCTTTTTTCAGATTATTTTGCAATACTTTCACTGTTGAGCAGATTTTCTAAATATGACTAATTAATATTGAAGTCATATCAGCTTGTTGAATTCTAATCAATGCTACTTACGCCATGCTAAAGGAAGGCTTTGCATCTTGATCAGATAGAGAAGCAATAGTATGCTGAGGAAAACCTGAAGAGAAAAACATCCCATAGTAAAAATTTTAAACATACAATAATGTGTCCGTTTCTTACTTCAATGAAGAAGTTCAAAGATTATATTCTAGACATTGAGGACTCTCTTTCCCATTTGTTATTACAGGAGAACTGATACACTCTTGCTATACCAAATTCTTCCCAAAGGTCTCTACCTACACCCACACCTCTCTGACTTAACTTCCCCTCAGCTGAAAAAATGTCTTTGCCATAGACTTTGTGTTAACTGAAGTGCACTGGAACCCCATTTTAGAAGAACAGTTAAAAAGTAAAATATGTGAAATGGTAGGAAAGCAGAATGAGCAACATACAAATGTTCACTTAAACAATAGTTTCTAATTAAGGAGGAAATATTTTTATAAGCATCCATCCAACCTATATTCACCTTCCAAGTGCAGTATATGACAGATGAGACTACAGGACTTTTTGGAGACTGATATCTTTCTTTCTTTCTTTCCTTGTATAATTTATTTTTTACAGATCAAGAGAGGTGAGAAGTTGGTTTTTCCAACTGCTGCTCAGGCTTTACCTAAGAGAAGTAAACCTTTTCATTATCTATACCTAGACATAAAAATACATGCATTCTTATGTATGAAAAGGATGGATGAAAGTGAGAACTCAATGCTCTACTTTAGCATTACAGTTCCTATACTGGTTTAACTCCAAGCTTAAATTTATTGAGAAACAGATCAAGAAAAGAAAAGGTAATCTACTTCTTGAAAGAACACTCAAGAAGTTGGTAATAAATGTGTACTACCCATGGTTCTTAAATCAATTACTAGTTGTAATAGTTGCCTTCTGCAGGGAAAAAAGCAGAGGGAGAAATAATAGCTTTTCACCCTTCATTTCTAAGTATTAAATTTATAACAATTACTGTGCCATCAATATCGTTCCACTTCATTGTTTCTAAATTCTATTCAGTAATTTGTCTTACTTAATAAGCTCTGTTTAAAAGCTGACTACGATGCAGGAATAACACCAATAAAAGTAACACTTATCTAGCAAAATAAAAGTTTAAACAAAAAAAATTACACAATGTCTTTACTACATGTCTTACTATTTATATTGCCTTAACACAGAAGAGGCAAATAAAGAAAAAGACAAAATCTCATGCTAGGAGTTTGACAAATCCATATCTTACCCATTCGAATAAGGGAGCACTCAGAAGTTGAACTGGCAGGTGGAGGACTGACATGGTGCATCAGCAGTTCCTTATAATGACTTTCATCCAAAATAACATGGTATGTTCCTGTCACAGACAAAGAGATGCCTTACTATCAGGTTACGAGCAAAAAAAAAAATACAAACATATACTCTAAATGACAGAAAACAACTTAGGTAGAAAACACAATTTATCCAAACCTGTTCATAAAAAGCAGCCCTGTTCATGCTACACTAAATGACAAGTTTTAAAACTAGTAATAACAGAATGTTAAATTAGATATGAAGACACAGAGCTTTTTCTCCATCATTAAACTGTAGTAATGATACTGCAAGAGTTACCACTGTAGCAATGGATATTAACATGTTATACTGATGAAGTTTCACACCACATAGCTTTATGTATGGGACAAAAGGTTTGCAAATATATGTATTTTTCCTCTCTAGAGCTGCAGCTACCAGCTGATAGTAATTTCACTTACTACTTGTATATTTGGGCAACTCTTTAATTTTCTGCCAGCACAACGGGAAATATTTATCCTTAAAAATTACAAAATGCAGCAATAAATATATAACAAATTACTTACTTAATTTTGATTTTAAAACTGTGTTAGTAATACATGTTTTAAATTTTGATTTTAAAACTGTGTTAGTAATATAATTACTGAACTTCAGATACATACCACCAGTTTCTCGGGCAAGTACTGTACAAACTCGAACTTCAGCACTTAGGCCGATGACAGATACTCTGATCTTTACTGCTTTTAAACACTTAAAATGGAGAAAAAAAGCATACTCAATTCATGTACAGCACAAGAAATAGTAAAAAGGTTTAAGTCTTAAACGAAAATTAACTGGTGGTAACACTGCAACTGCCTGTGTTTTGTCCAGCAGCCTGGATGTTCAATGCAGTTGTGAAACTTCAGTTCTGTACCTTAATTAGATCATAGATGTTGGCTGGATCACATGTCGTAAGACTGCTGAGGACTACCAAAACCTCTCTGCTCGTATGTCCTGGCATGTGCCTAAGGAAAGCACACAGTTAATTTACTTATGCACACTAAACTATTTGTATGATAACATCTCCAAGGACCTTAGTGTGCTGAAGTCAGAAGATGACATGATATGAAGTCCTCTACAAACTGTGGTAAGATCCTTGTCTGAGCACCAGATTTTCACCTTCTGAAAGCCAAACTTTCCAATATCTAAAATACAGTATTTAATTGGGTAGCTGTTACCTGATTATTTCCTGTAATGAATCCTTTGTACCTTAGCCATACTCACATGTAAAATTATCTCCAAAATAGCACACTGTAGTAAGTCTTCCTGACTTCTTAAAAAGCTCTAATCAGTTTTTAATGTAAATCCATTACTTTTAATTACTTCTAGTTCTTAGTTGAAAACTCTCTTCCGGCTAGTATTTAAATGGCTTTTCATGACACTGATTATCCGCTTTGTTCAGTCAGTATCTTTAGCTGTAATTCTTTTTCAGTTTTCCACAAAACTGGGATACATCTCAATATCTCACATTGCAAAAAAGTGCTCTGAATCTATCCTATCTGAAATTTGATCTTTCTAAAGTATGCCAAAACTCTCACAAGTTTACTGTGACACAATACTATTTCTTTTCCTGTTCTCTTACATTATTAACCCCTATGTCCTCTCTCATACCACAGCCCTTCAGTAATAAAGAATTGGAGTGTCTTTCATCACAATATCTACATACCATCATCAACTTGGTTTTCAAATTTCATTTCTGTAAGAAACACAACCCTAAATAAAAGCATCTAGTGGTAGAAAATAAACTTCTACACTACTAGAGTATTTAACTTAATGATTTGTATTGTAAGAGGAGAGTTGCCTTTTAAAGACTCAAGTCAGCATGATGCAAGATGCTACTTAGAAAAAATTCTGTCTCTGCCTCTCAAAAGCCACAATCACAAAGAAAACAAAAAACCTCCTTGTATATACTAACTTTAAAGTCTGCATGGCCAAATTTAGGGAATTATATAGAGAAGGCTCTCCACTGCAGTTCATATCCACTGCTTTCTTCAGAGCAGTTACATGCTTTTTTGAGTTTCCTGTAAGTGAAAAAATGAAATCAATTTAACTGATACAACAAGTTAAAGAACAGAAATATTTAAAGTGCATATGTAAAGAAGTGTACTTGTACAACAATAGGAACTGGTTTCAGAGTGGAACAGGTCTGTATTTTTCCTTAGAAATTGGTATTTTGATCAGAATGCAAAAAAGAGTAAAAAAGACTTTTACTCCATAGGCATTCAGATGCTAGAAAGTTTAGAAGCCAAAAAGAATAAAATCACTGTTGGGTATCATTAAGCACTCCACATCAGTGCGACGTGTCCCACAAACAGAAAGAGAGTTTTGTTTCCTCTGTTATCCTCAAAACATGGTTGAAAGATTGACTGATCCACAATTTCCTCCATGAAACCTGCTGAAGCCATAGAGACTGGCCTAACAGCAGGCAGGCAGGAACCAAACAAACCTTGACTTCTTAACATCTGATCAGATCTCACAAAAAACACAGATGTTGTAACATACAAAATTAACAAACAGGGTAGAAAATTAACTATAGAGAAACCAGAACATATCTGACTTGCATTCTGGTCGAGACTTGATCGCAAACAAGCACATAATGACAATTCTGGATCAAAGCAGATCAAAACGTAGATTATGGTTTCAAACAACTTGCAGTAATTTATCTTTTAAATTAAAACTAATTATGACAACATAACTTCATTTTCAGCAGTGTATCAGTCAGAACTTAGAACACCAATGAAAAGGACAAAAACATCTGCAATTTAAGAAAAGAATACTACTTCCCTACCTGAGAGTTCTGTCATTTTTTCAGCTCTTTTACTCTTGGTTACAATTAAGCCAATCTGAAAACGGAAAAAAAAAAAAAGACCAAACTTTTCTTAGAAAGTTTTACAATGAGTTTATTTAGAATTTTACTGTATTTTTTTATGTCTTTATGGACCAGAATTGTTTAATCATACAAGGCTATAAAAGTTTTACTTCAAGTGTAACAACAGCAGCACAACATGATGCATTAATTTATAAACACCCCCATATTTTCATTACTTCTGCAAAAAGTACAAAAACAAATCTTCTAAAACTTTAAATTGCAGAAATAGGCAGAAACAAGAATTTCACTAGACTGATGAATAAAGGGTGGGAAGGTACACATAAATTGAAAAGTTTACTTGGTAGTGTTATAACCTTTTAAAACTGTTTAACCTGCTTAACCTGTAAAACTACCTTTTAAAATAGTTTTCTGCTATTTGTTTCTTGCACGGTTGTACATACCTGACTAATAGGATTCTGGTCAAAGTACTCTTCAACAAAATATTCCAGTAACTATAAAGAAAAGTTAAGGCAGTTAAAAACTAATGATACTTTCATTACACATGCAAAACATCTACTAAACTAAAAAAGCAAAACAAAGTAGTTGAGTAACACAAAAAGGGGGAATGAGCCTTTTCTTTCCATTCTTCTTTCACCCTATCCCTCCCCCTTCATCCCAAGTAATCAATTAAATGAGATTTCAGAAACTACACCCCCCCTTATTTTATTCATGTCCTATGTTAAAGTTCTAGATTCCTGCTGTTTCAAGTGGAGGTTTTCAATACACCAAAAAGCACTACTCTGTACAAAACCATCAAAATGCAGGATTTCAGGCTCAAGTATTGTTGAGGAAGACCACACAGAACACAATGTATACAGTTCAATATTATATATTCATATATATTCAATATCAATACTGGATACAGTGGAAATATGCCCACAATCTGAAACAGCAATCCAGTTCAACACTCATCTAGCATCCTTTCAAGTAAGAATTCATAAAAAAACCCAAGTGTAAGAAAAAAATACAAACCAATTCTAGATGTGTAATGAGAACATGCCATCCCCTTAATTTGGGCAACACTTAATTTCCACATAGTTTCCAAATGTGTCTTCCCATAATATGCCCATGCAAAGTGTTTTTGCTGTACAGAAGTACATGTGCAAGGCAAAATAATGCCACACAGACTTTACTATTGAAAAAATAGGAAAGTGACAGGCAGAAATAAGGAGACAAATGTAGGGATGAGAGATGAGGCTATGCAGACACAGGAGACTGCAATTCTTTGAAATGGAAAATGTAACCAGTTTATAGAGAAATGGAAATGTAACCAGTTTATAGAGAAATGGTGGCTCAATAAGAAAAAAACTTGAGTGCAGGAATACCTTCAGAGTGCAAGTAAGTCTGTTTGGCTTTAAGTCTTGGTCCTCCATCGTTCTTGATCCATCAACAACCACGTAAAGGTGACGCATCTGCATTTCCACCATATGTGAAAATCACTCACAGAATATGTATTGAAATGAATTAATTATTCCATTTACTTTAAAAAGCCACTACTTTCTCCCTCTGACAGGGAAGATTCAGTAGATAAAGAGATGCAATTAACAGCAACTGAAAAGTAATGCATTCTTCCGTTTTTTTCTTAAAATGAAAAAAAAACCCTTCTCTTGAAAAATGCACACTGTTCTCCTCTCATGACAAGCTACAAAACATGAATAGTTTGAACATTCATGTCTTCACCTGAAGAGCTCAGTTGTACAAAGCAATGTGGTTATTTACAACCCATTTCCATCATGTCCATTTTTCACATGAAGAGAAATGGTCAGTGTGAGCACATGGTGATCTGACTTCTGCTGCCAAACACACCCTGTGTGTCAACCCTCCAACCCTGAATAGCCATGCTTCACATACACACCACCAACAAACAAAGAATGCTTTAAAAAAACAGTAAGTAACAGCAGAAACCACAGGGCTTGGTATGAAATATGCCAGGCCAGCAGAAGTGTATTTCAGATCTGGCATAACACCTCCAGCCAAATAGTTTTGGACTAAGGACAGAAGAGGGTTAAGGTATTAACATACCATTCCAAGCCGAACTTGTCCATGGTGTTCATAAAGTCTAACAAAACACAGAAGGTTTTAAGTCAAATTCAAATAAGTGAATGGCTCCTAAAACAAAAGTCCAAACAAATCCAATACTAGACTTCTGGCTAAAATGTAGAAGCAACAAACTGCAGACAGTTATTCATGCTGAAAAACCCCACTGGTCAATCACAGATTTCACAACTCTCAGAAAATAAATAAGAACTATTTCTTACTACCAGGTTTAATGAAGCTTTAAAATTTTATCCAAACTTGACAAATCAAGTTCTAACATAACTTGAAATAACATAAAACTTAGGATTTTCTTCTAGCCATTTTCCTGAAATTTGAAACAGAAATCTGTAGTCATGATACCAGAAGGTAGATTCTGTTGTGACAGGACAAGGGGCAATGTTTTTAACTAAAAGAGGATTGATTTAGATTGGAGACAAACATGTTTCTACCACGAGGGCAGTGAGGCACTGGAGCAGGTTGCCTTGAGAAGCTGTGGATGCCCCATCCCTGGGAGAGCTCAAGACAGTTTGGATGGGGCTCTGACCAACCTGTCCAATGAAAGGAGTCCCAGCCCATGGAAGGTTGGCGGGAGATGATCTTTAAGGTCCCTTTCAACCTAAACTATCCTGCGATTCTCTGATTTGTATACTAAAAAAAAAAACCACTGATGGAAGATTCCTCTAAGCTGTGCAGATTGCAGCTGCAGTGCTCTGCAGCGTTTCATCAGATCAAGACCTGTAGCTTGCATACACATGGGATACACAGCCTGTATACATTCAGCGTTAAAAGATAAAAATTAATTGTTCATAATTTTTCCTGGCATGCACCTGCCCCTCTGAAGGAAAAGGGCCATAAAGACATCCTGCAGGCATGCCTTATGGTTAATTTATCCCACATGAACCAGTTTCGGGATGATCAAGCCCTTGTAACTGACCAAATCAGCGCTATTAGCAGGCTCGTGGCCACACCACGTACCTTTTCCTCTTTGCCTTGAAGAGAATGTCCTCGATGGTTGCCTTCAACGACCCGGATTCGTCTTCCTTAAGAATTTCCCTAGGCAGAACAGACTGTTACAGTGGGCAGAGGGGAGGCTTTTCCTCCTCTTTCGCCAGAAAGGAGAGAAAGGTGATGGGGGAAAACACACCATGTTCTTTCGTAGCCTCCTTCCCAGCGCTTGGTCCGCTCGGGTTCGTCATCCATCTCCGCGGCGGCTGAGGGGAGACCAGGGGAGATGCGGGGCGCTGAGGGAATATCAGGGGAGCTCCGGGGAGATGAGGGAGTTCAGGGGTGACGAGGAGGACTGCGGGAAGAAGAGGAGGGTGAGAGGAGGTCTGAGAGGAGCCGAGGGACACTGAGGGAGGTGAGAATGGCCGAAGGGGCCCAAGGGCAGCCGAAGAAGGTTGAGTAGAGCCGCAGGACACGGAGACGAGCCCGGCCCGCGCTCGCAGCCAGGCCCGGCCGTCCCCGACACGTTGGCGCCCGCCCTCTTCCGCCTCGGTGCGCCGCCAAACCGTCCCGGCCGCCGCCCGGGCCGCGGAGCGACCGTTCCGTTCCGTTGTGTTTTCCACAGCACCATCAAAATCCTCCGAGTGCGGTCATGGAGAGGATGAGCGCCTAGGGAAGACGCCTGACGGAGACATCGATGGAGAAGACGAGCGCCTAGGGAAGACGCCTGACGGAGACATGGCGCGGAGCCCCGTGAGGAGCCCCTCGTTCGTGTGTCCGGGCACAGCCGCCAGGCTGACGGTACTGCCTGGGTGTCGGTGGCGCTTCTGCAGTTAACCGAAGACATTTCAGTAATTAATGGAAGAACGCAGGAGCCTGGAAAAAGCGCTGGATTTCAACACATGATTGTGCTCATACGCTGGTTAATGAAGGCAGCCATCTATCACGCCACCAGCAAGAGCAAGAAGTTTCAGGTATTTTGATGTTAAGTAGATGTTAAGTAATCATCTACCTAAAATATTTCTGAGTATTCATGTCACGTCACTAAGAGTTCCATTTCATAAGCACCACAGTTAGGATTAGCTCAGAGCTAGCTGAGCTAATTGCTGATCGCTCTGCAGAGCAATTAAAACTTTACCGGATACGTGGAAGTATGCCAAGACCGGGCTTCAGCTCTTGAATTGCAGGAAAGTTACTGAACATCCGTTTCTAAGGAGTCTCACCCTGCATCCAAGTAAGACAATACATGAGGAAGAAACATGTAAACAGTAGTAACAATCTTTGAAGCAAGACTGTGGCAAAACTAACCACTTCTGTACCCTTCAGCTTATTGCGTTTATTAGGAGAAGTGTATAATTAGAACAGAAAGAGAGGAAAAATTAATTAGCTCTCAGTTAAACCATACCAGGGAAAAAGCAATTATTTTTTGAAGGAAAGCAATCTGAAGACAGGAAAAGAAGAATTCTTTGAAAAGTCAGTATTTTCTTCTTGGAACTGAAATTGTTGTTGTTTGAACAACTCCAATTAGAACATACACCATTTTTTTCTTTAGAAGGAAAAAGTCCAATCTCTAAAACAATGAAATAAAATGTCTTCTAAGCTAGCACTTTGAATAAAATAAATGAGCAATGAGACTTCTTTCAGAACAGGAATATTTTTTATTCTCAAGACCAAGAATCTCAGTTCTGGACTGGAACACAAGATATACAGTAATTTTGTAAAACTTTATTGTACAAGTGCTTGAAATCCCACCACGATTTTGAAATTCATAAATAACATACTGGACACCTTCATTTACATTTCAAAGCAGTTAGGTTTTTCATTGCCATGAGCATTTCTAGTCATTGTGCTGGCATGAAACTGGTCAGGCTGTTACGCAAGACAAAATTTTGGGTATGTTTGTTTTTCCTTACTTTATGGGGCCTGAAAAAATGTACAGTTTAGTAAAAAGAATGCCAATCTTGCCACATTTGTCTTGATCAACTGCTTACAAAGACAAGAAGAAACACAAATACAGTTTAGAAACTATGGTATTTGTAGAAACACTAAGAATCTTGAGCATCTCAATTTGTAGATCTGTGAAGCCAGGTAAGTGTTTTCTAAGAGGAAGACTGAATGATAAAACTTGTTGTATACACTCAGGGTTTGAGTACAGGCTGTAATTAAAAGCAAGCCCACTGATGTAAGGCAGAATTCCTTGGTGATTAATTTGTTAACTACCTTCTGCAAAAACCCAGACACACGTGTAAGACCACACAGCACATGGTTTACACATACATGCAAAAATGTAGGTTCAGAGCTGAGCCTAGAGGGACTGCACAGAGAGATTGAGGTGATAATAATCTAAAACTCCAGTTTTGTCTGCAGTATGCCTTCTATTCTTTAATAACAAGAAGCTACTTTCCTTGATAGTTCTTATGGTAACTCAGATTGAGGGACTCTCCCATCACTTTCCTCCTAGTTTCTGCCTTGCTCCAAGTTCCTTCAGCTTCCAGCATTAATTCTTATTTAATTCATCTCAATTTCTCTGAGAGATGAACATGTTAGACTAATCTTAGAGTAACAGTTTTTCTCCAGCGTGTCTGTAGCATTGTAGACAAGACCCTTTTCAGCTGTCCATTGGTAGGTTAGAGCAAAACGAGTGCACAGATTATACACACCAGAGGTGCCTCAGCAGCCCTGAGGCCTGTAACAGACACAGGACTGAGCAAGTCATTTACTGTAATGGTTGCAACACGTTGCTGCAGCCTTAGGATGGCCTGTGTACCTTAGGATGGTAGCTTGCTTCTGTCGTGCCCTGCATCAATTCTGTTTGAAATCCAAAAGGCAGGCCAAGGGAGTATACCTCTCCCAGCTTCTCTTCCCAACATCTGGAAAATCTACTTAGCCACACCTATGGCATCTTGCTGGGAAACATGAGAATCCACATACAGATGTTACTGCTTAATCTCCTTATTCCAGGCACAGGTATGCTGTTACCTTTTCCCAATCCATTTGTTGGAAACTTTGTAGGAAAGAAGCAGAATGATGGTTCTCCACAGACTATGCAGACACTGTCTGAGAGACCAGGAGCCAGTTTCTCAGACTAAAACTCAGACCACTGTCAAAAGGAGCCTGGAGCTGGGTCTGTCCTACAGAACGAAGACCTATTAAGTGTGCAGACTGTGAATCTCCAAAATCAGTCATGTTATTGTTAGAACTTTAGGAACACCAGTTCATCCTCAAACTTGTGCTAATCTTCTCCTGTTATTGATGCAATGCCCAGAACTCTCACTGAGAAAAAACAAGAAACCTGGGTGTGACAGGTAATTTATTTAGATTGTGGAGATTTGGACAAGTACTTCTCTTACAAAGAACAATTTAACAGGTATTCAGCACAACAAGTATAAAAAATTGGCCCATCTCCTTTATAAGGAAGAGAGGTTTTTCCTTTGAAATGAATACAAACCAGAACCAGAGAGAAAGGCACTGAAAAGAGAGAGAGAACATAGTATTGCACTGGCTGTCACCTGTTCTCAGAATGAAGACAATACTGAGGCACCTTCCAGTAGATGAGACTGAAAAGCTTTGAAATTAAGATGTGCCAAATTTTCAAATTCTCTCAGTGTTCCCATGGCATCTTGTGCTATTTACTTCATCCACTAAAGCTCTTGGAATGAAATGGCTGATAAAATTGGAATGTCAATTTTACAAGTATGAAGGTGGGTGCATGGCCATCAGGATTGCAGCATCAATGATAAGGGTTGAAAAACCAGCAGGGCTACAATGGTCAGAGTGAGGTATGTTAATACATTTCCAGCAGTGAAGAGCAGAGGTAGTACTACCATGATCACACTAAACTGGAAATGGCTTTCCTAATGTTGTTCCTTAAAATTAAGGCAGAAGTTAAAACTTTCAAAGAAAAAACCAAATCACTAACAAAAATTTGCAGTAACTGTAATCAGAGCACCTTTTTCAAACAAAATGTCTTTATAAGCAATAGAGTAATATGGCTACACTGGTGGGGTTTTTTTTAATATTAAAAAACATATTTCAGAATAGACAAATTGCAGTTGTAGAAAACGGTACAAAAACTATCAATGCTTCTAACAATTATAATAAGTAAAAAAGTTAAAGTAAATAAAGATATGAAAAAGGATGCAAAGAGAAAATTTACTGGCTTATGAAAATACTTACACATACAAACCTATCGCCAGCATAATATCCCCAAGAAAATATAAAAATATATATAGAATTTATGCAAATATGCTCTGGAAAGTATGTCTTTTAATACATTTTATCTGGCCTTAAAGAGGATACTAACAATTTATACTTTGAATGAGAATTCATTCTGCTATACTCGCTCTCTGAATGCCAAGTTCATTAGCTGCTGCTGTATAGACAAGATGTCCTTTACTTGCTGATGAGGAGTGAAGCCCTTAAACACATGTACCCCTAACAGCATGATCCACAAGGCAGGCAGAGCACACTGACCTACAGCAACACTAATGGGACATTAATATGCCTCATCCTGTACCTCTTTTCCTTTAAGGCCAAGTATAGATTTGTTGCATCATCTCTGAAGAGGGCAATACAAAAACCAAACCCAAGTCCCCCTTCCCCAGCTGGTTAAATAAGAAGCTATTTTTCCTCACTTGTTAGGCAAAATTCAAGATGATTTCTGGTATAATTGACAGCATTTGGAAATACAATACAAAAATTCTTATTAAACTAGCTTCTGAATTGCCCAAAATATTGAACACAATCGGGCAATTCATCAAACCCCACACAGAAAAATCAGCTCAGCTCTTTCTGATATTATTAAGATGTCACATATAAATAAAATCCAAAATTGTTAACAGCGTTTCTGTGCAATATTTCCACAAGGTATATGGAAACTGCTTTCTCTGGAAGGCTTTGCAAGTTTGCAAATGAAGTATTTTCAAATAAAGTATTCATATTTAAGAGGCCAGGATTTGCACTAATGAAAGCATAATGTTAGCAGCAGTTTCCTAACTTATGTCATAACTTCAATTACAATTGGATCTGCATACAAAACTATCAGTAATGTACAACATCCAAACATATGACAGTGATTAAGTAATCCCCATAAGTGTACTGTTCAAAGAGTAAATAAATAGGTTAAAATACACATATTGATTTTAAAACCAGAAAATAGTATCCATGAAGTGAAGTCATTACTAGGTTTCTACATTCCAATTCATAACTTTATCATAGTCCTGAATTCGTTGTTTTATGTGAGAAAGCTTATTCTTCAGATATTCACAACGCTCCTTTTTCTCCAGAAATGCAGGATCCTGCCAAAAATACAAAAACCTATATGTTAGTATATATTAGGCTTTCAGACTCTTCCAAGAATAGTCTATTACCAATTATCTTCTTGACTAAAAGGACAGTATGTAAAAATTCTCAAAAAAAATCACAATCTTTTTCCCTAGCCCTTTCTTATTTCCCGTTTCCCCTTCCTTCATGAAAGGCCAGAAGAAAATGTTCTGCCTTTATATGCTGTGGCAGCTCTCTTAGTAAATAGAGCTGTTTTAAAGCAGAAATTTGCAAATATAAATGACATCCTACTATGTAATTTAGATTTTACACATGTATTTGTTGTACGTGCAATACATCCTTCCCCCTCAAAAAGCAATGAAGCTTAACTAACATGGACATAAACTCTGAATCCCATGGGAAAAAAAATTGTATTTGTAATGCAGAATGTTTTTAATGGAACACAGATACATATTTGCTGTCTGCATTTAAAAATTACAAAGAGAAACCTCTTGGATTACACCAAGAGGTGTAATTACTTTTTTAGAGTGTCTAAATTCCATGCCTCAAAAAAATACAAAAATGTCTTTTTAAACGTAGGACTATGTTTTCTGTTTTTATCTATTGGCTGTGTCAGCCAGTGAATATAACTGAACTCATCTTCTGAATGCAGAATGCTCAGTGATTAAACATACCCTCAGAAGATGAAAGTGCTCAACTGTTGGGTTGGGTTTTTCCCCACATGTGGCTACTGTGGGAATCATTACTCTCAAAAATGCTTTTGCCATGAGTGTATGGGTTGTGCCATAGCTTTGCTGAAGTTTTAGAAGACAAAATATGCAAAACACTACAGGTACCCTGAGATACTGAAATCTGCCCCGCGTCAGAAGTATTATCTGTTTACACTCTCTTTGCTAGTCATTAGATTCAATAGCAATGTAAATTTAAAACACTTACGTTTTTCTTCTTCTTGTATTCCTGCAGAACTTTTAATATCCTTTCCTGTTCCTAATGAGAAACCACAGATTTTTAAACTTTGAGTGTGCTCCATATATGGATTTACATTTTGTAAATACTACAAAATACTCATCAGAATTCTCATTTGATCAATACCTTGAGGTTATAACATTTTAGATGTAAATCTTGTATTTGAGAAATAATCAAAATACATCAACTGTGACTCATTAGAACTTAAAAGCTACTAGTATGAAACAAAGAAACTAAAACCCCCAGAAAACCATGTATAGTTCTTAACTAGTAGAAGACATTGTGGTCTAGCTAAAGACAGTCAAAAACTGTCTAATACCACCTAATACAGCTATTTTCCACGAGCCCATTTCACAGGTACTTACATATATGCTTTCAGGATGGTGTGGAAGCTGTTTCAGCAATGCGTCCAGCTCATCAAACTTTCTTAATACAGCATTAACTTCCATAGACAGTTCTTTATACTCAGCAAACTGATCATTGAATACTGCTTTGTACCGGTCTCTCATTTCATTTGTTTGAATTACAGGGTATTTCCTTAAAAGAAAAATAATTAAGAATTAGTTTTAGAGATACAGTTTACTAACAACATTTAGACTCTTCACCTTGACAGAGTATTTCTGTATTTTTTCCTAATCTCATAACCTGCTGAAATTTGCATGTCTGTAAAGCACCGAAATCAGAGAATCACAGTAAAATTGAGGTTATAGGAGATGTCTGGAAGTTATCTGATCTGACCTCCTGCACAAATAGGAACACTTAGACCAGGACTATGTCCATACAGCTTTGATATCTCCAAGCATAGAGACTTAGTCTCTTTGGGAAACCTGTGCCAACCCTCAAAGAGAAAAATATTTTCCTAATATTCAGGTGCAACCTCCCTTGTTTCTACTTGTGCCCATAGCAAATAGTATGAAAATTAATTTATTAATTGGAAAGGCCTACCCTTTCCAATTATGGGAGCAGGTTACAGATGCAGTATTAGAAAGTATAAGAGTAGTCAAATTTCTGACTACAAATTTCTGGCCCTAAAAAGGCAATTTCCCATGTATTTTAGTTTTTTCCTCTAATATCTATATAATGGTCTTCCTTTGGCAGTTAATGTACTTGCTAGATTATGATATTCTTTTTCAACATCTGAGGTTTGTGGGGGTTTATTTTTTTAAATTAAGACTCCTTATTTATAGTTACTGGACTTATGCCACTGATACCAGCCCCGTCCTCTCTGCTTTTTAATGTTAACTTAACACACAATTACGAGTTCGCATAGCATGTGCATGGGAGAGAATCCATTGGAGAAATGCAGAGTGAAAAACATGATTCAAGTATCCTCCACTAAGTTGGCCCATCAAAATAAAGTCACTTACGCTAAGTAGTCTGGCATCACTATAGGTTTAGGAATGTGGCCTGCAGGTATATGACCATTAAGTAGCTCTGGTTTTCTTTCCAGTGATTTTAGCTGCCTGTAACTGACTTCTTCCCTTGGTCTGTCATCACCTTCATACTGTTTTAAAAGAGAAAATTTGTTCTTAATGAAATCATTTTTACATAAATCACAAAATACACCTTAAGACAGGGATGCATGTATTGAGCAGCAGTAGAAGCAAATCACAGATATTTCCTACAACACTTATTGTAATTAGAAAATCAGTTTATTGACTTACAATAATGTTTCTCACACAGTATTTTTCTTAAGTTTGTCCTAACAGCAGTACAGATAAGTACTTCTGCAGCTTTGGAAAGAATTGTTTGCATGTTTAAAAAAATATTGCAAGAAAGTTTCCTTCAGTATTCATTTAATTTGTGAATGAACTGGAATCATTCAGTTCTTTGGAGTTCCCTTTTCTCCTTGTTTCCTATTGTACAATTCATCCCTTGATCCAGAAATAAAAAAAATGTGAAATCTTAGAACATAAACAAAAGGATCCTGATCCACTACTGAATCAACAGAGAAAACGGTGGTAAGGAAATTCACAGTGTCTATCAGGAGACATTTAAGGGTGAAATTTATCTCGTAATTTCTCTGGAAAGCCCATACAATCTTTGCAGTGTATGCAATGACACCTTGTGTGGCTGAAACACTAACACTGCTGAGGCATTAACTGGCAAGGGGGTCTTTGGAGCAGTCTCAGAGACCAAGGAAGAAGCTCGACTCACAGGGCACCTACACTGTGCTTCCACTGGCTCTCCTGCAAATTAAACGCACAGCCAGGAATAAAGAGAGACTCAAACCTATCATGCATCAGACGACCTGCTGTTGTAGTCATGTCTACAAACTCTGTGATAAATGCTACAGAACTTGTCACCTCATAGAAAAGGGTAATAGCACACGGAGAGGCAGCCATCACATTGCTATTTTACAGTTTTGTAGATTTTATATCCTAGCCTAACTAGGAGTAAGTTTGTTACAAGCTCCTTTTGAATCTTCCAGGCAGGAGACTGCTGTCCAAACTAGCTTAAAAAACTAAACATAATCTCTTTGAGGTCAAATAAACAAATTAATTAATTAATTAAAATAGTCACAAGGAAAATAATAATCATTTAGAATTACCAGTAAAGAGAAAAATAAATTCCTACTTCCTACCTTCTTTTCTGGAAAAGAGGATTGCGTTTTCATCTATCCAAAAAAAAAAAGGAAAGAACAAAGTTTTATTTTCAGCAAAAATAGTATGGAAAAACATGGACTACTAAAATTTAAACACTTTCAAAAACATACTATACAGAAGATTACATTTATACTTAAGTATAATGAAATGTAGCATAAGGAGTATTTTCAGATCCACTATTTAAAGACTTGTTTAAGGAAAACAACCACCCAAACCCCAGAACAACAGGATTTCCCAGAGCACAGCTGTAAGGAACAGCTTGCAGGAAATACTCCATCCACTTCTCAAGCTCCTTTATTATTGTTTCACATTCCAGCCCACGTTAACTCACTAACAGGCTGAGCCTAATTCATTGCGTAGAACACACACAACAGTGAACTAATCAGTAGCTCAACCTGCAGCTGTTTTGCACAGCATTGTCCAGTCTCTAACCTCTATTATTAAAGTACTCCCTTTAGAAATGTTTAGTGAGTGGACTAAAAGAACTTGGATAGCAACAAGGAAGAATGAACACCTTATGTACAACTCTGGCAACCCCCTCACTCTTGCAGGGCATACTATCAGTTGGTTAAAAAGCTTTTATTGAAGTATAACTAGTTTTCAAAAGAAAAGTCTCAATTTTTCTGCAAGATGTTGAACTGGAAACCAGCATTAAATAAAAATGCTGTAAATCAGACTGCAGTCAGAGAGCAGAGGATATGCAGCTTTAAATTCTCTTCTTCTAAAATCCCTTAAAGGGAGACCCCTCCTTAATTTAGGCTTATGTATGTTTCACATGCATTAATTTTCATGCTATATTAAGTCTTACTAATTTTTAAAGGGTCTTTTGGCGATGTTTTCAAATGAAGGAAGTTTTACACAAATTACTTTGAACTCTCTAGGTAAGAGTGTTAAATCTCTACTGTTATAGTTTATCATTAACCAGACAAATACTGAATGCTTCTAGTATGGGCAAGGCCAGTAGTCAGGCAAAATATTTGACGTGAAAAAGATGTGGCTGACTAAAATTTGAGACATCAAAATCTAGTCAAGGCTGTTACTACAAATATTTGCTGATAACTATAGTGAAGAAAGCTGAAAAGGCATTAAGAAGTTGCTTGGAGATTTGCTTGCAAAGTAAAAATAAGTATTTCACATTCTTAGGTTTATTCCCACTAGCACTTGATGTGCTGAACGCACAGATTTTGAATAAATGCTAGGTGGCTTTAAGCCACCTAACCCTGCTGAACAGATGAACATTGTTAGTTTCTTCCTTTGTTTGGAAAATACACACTAGGAAGTAGTCCATCAGCTGACTCAAAAAGAGAGCCCAGTATTATGAGGAGAACAGAGCCAGGTCCTTACTCAAGGTAACTATAAACATTAAAAAGAGCCAAAAAAAACCACCAAAAAAACATGTCCAAGACTTTGTTTCTGACACCTTAAAAACGCCTTTTCAACCTTAGGACTATAGATCTGCTGTAGAGAAGACAGTTGATTTGACATCGTCTATGCCACGGTAAGATCTTACAGCTGCTCACCATCATGTGGTAACCGGTAGATAGAAAATGAAAACTAATGACTTACCTCCTGTTCCATTAATTCCCTGTGCCTCCTGGCCCCTTCGTGCCTCCACAACTTTAGGCAAACCACCGCACTAATTAGATAGAGGATCACCGTGACAAACAAGAAGATGATCGCCGCAGTCTGACCGCCCTCCACACGGCAAAAAGCCGCATTTATCGGTGTCTTAAACAACTGGTAATAGCAGAGCCCACCTCGGTTGGTATCGTTTACATATACTATGGCAGCCGACATGTACAGGATGAACAAGGCCACATTGATCCCAAACTCGGTCAGAGGCCACCAGTTGGAATCGAGGAGGATAGTTCGGTAGTACATGGACATGCCCAGCACGAGCAGCACTATGGTGACGATCCACGCCATTCCCGCCACCACAAGGATGAAAGGCGTTTTGGGCCCGCTGTAGGAGTATCCTCCGTAGGCGCTGCCCGCCCCGTATCCGTAGGGCTGCGAGTACCCGAACATGTTGTACCACTCGTTGTCCTTGTGTACGTAGGCGGTGACACAGGCGAACACGGCGGCGCCAAGCAGCAGCTCGGCCACGCCGAGGATCCTGAGCAGCCCTGCCCAGGACTTCATGTAGGCGTACCGCAGGTGGTACTCCTCCACTCGCTCGCTGTAAGTCTGCCCAGTGCCGCCGCGGCGATCCAGCGAGCCCGAGGGCTCTCCGGAGGGCAGCATGGCCTCGGCCTCCTTCCGAGAGTTGTAGCTCCCGCCCGACCCTCCGAATGGGTCGGTGTAGGAGCCGGGCACCGTCCTGGTCCCCGGTTGCAGCGGGGCGGGAGAGGCAGGCGGGGAGCACTCGACCCCGTCCGAGATGTACCTGATGTCGGAGGCCGTGCTATCCCAGCTGGAGCCGGGATGGCGTCTCCCTTTGAAGAAGTTCTTCCACGAGTCCGGAATGAAGCGCCGAACCGGCTTGAGCTCTGCCGGCCCGCTGGGGCCCGGGCTGGCCCCGCCGGGGCCGAAGGGGGGCTGCAGGGGCAGCGGGGGCGGCGGCAGCGGGGCGGCGGCGGGCCCGGGGCTGGCCCCGCGGGGCAGCGGGGACCTGCCGGGTCGCCCGCCCTGCGAGCTCCGCGACATGGCCGGCGCTCAGCCCGGCCGCAGGCACTCCCCGGCCCCGCTCGGCTCACCAACGGGAGGGAACTGCCGCGGGGTCCCAAGGGCAGCCGGCGCTAGAGAAGGACGAGCCGGGCGGAGAGCGCCCACTGGCCCGGCAGCAGTCGCCCAACACCTGCGGCGCCCCGGCGGCCTCACCTGCGGCGGCCCCACGGCCTTCGCCCGGGGAGGCGGGAGCTTCCGGCCGGGAGTGGCGGGAGCTTTCCCGAGATCGCGGTGCGGTGCCGGCGGGGCGCGGCCGGGCTTGGCAGGAGGGCTGGGAGCCGTGACTCACAGCATGACAGAATAGGCCAGGTTAGAAGGGACCGCAGAGGGACAGGTATTCCAACCTGTCTGCTCAGTTGCTCAGGGAGGGTCGTGCTAGAGCACGTCGCGCAGGATTGCGTCCATATACTTCTTGAATATCTCTGGTGAAGGAGATTCCACTATCTGTTCAACGCGCCGTCACTCGCACAGAAAGAAAGATATTCTTCATATTCAGGTGGAACTTACTTTGCATCAGTTTCTGCCCATTGCCTCTTGTCCTGTTGCTTGGCACCACTGAGGAGAGCCTGGCTCCATCCTTTTGATACTTTCCATTAGGTAGTTACAAACATTGATAAAGTCCCCTCTCAGTCATCTCTCTCTTCTCGAGGCTGAACAGGTGCAACTTCCTCAGCCTTTCCTGGTAAGAGAGATGCTTCAGTCCCCTCATCATCCTTGTTGCCCTCCCCTTAAGGAGCTTCATGTCTCTCCTGTACTGGGCACCCCAGAAATGGACACAGCACTCCATGTGCAACCCTGCCAGGGCTGAGTAGAGGGGCAGGATCTCCTGCCTCGACCTGCTGGTAATGCTAATGCCCTGCTGTTCCTAATGCCCTGCAGAATCCTGTTGACCCTCTTGGCCACGGGGCACTGCTGGCTCATGGACAGCTGTTTGTCCTGCAGCACCCCCAGGTCCTTCTCCAACAGAGCTGTGCTTCAGTCCCAGCCTGGGCTGGTGCTTGGGCAACACGTGGCAAAGAGCTGGCCCAGTGACAGGGAAAGCCAAGCCACCGAGCAGTCTGTTTGGAAAATCAACATTTCTGCCATTGTTTTTCAGGTTCAGGAGCTGAAGAAGAAATCTGGTGTGCTGCACCGTTGTCTTCTGCAAATGGCTTTCTACATTCACCACAAAATCTGCAGCTGAGTACAAAACAGCATTAATGCAGTAGGAGTTTTATTTACATTGTCAGTATGGCCTACCAAATTGTCTATAGTATGCTTCAGTCTCTTCTTTTACAAGGTTTAAAATTCCAAACAGCGATAATTTTTAAGGTGTAAATTTTAATTAAACCTTCAAATGCTCACAACTTACCAATCGTGGACTCTGGAAACAAACTGTACAAATGCAAAGTAAATAAAATATGTTAAAAATAAAGAGTTATTCCTTAATTTAATAAAAAAAAAGGTGTTCTTAAAAAAATAAGTTCTAAGCTTACCTCCCAAAATACCTTTACAGTACTGTCTTCCTAATATCTTACATAAAAGAAATCTGACCTAAGAAAAATATTCACCAGTACCATATTGGGTAGATCAAAATGCACTTAGAATGATAGGCACTGGAAAATAATTATTTCATATGCTTAGTTAAGTGGTCCTGTTTATGTTTGCATTAGTTTGGATACCAAAGTTGATATATATTTGAAGCGTTTCTCACATTTTCATAACATATTTACAGATTGCCTCCAAATAATAAAAGCCCCTACTGTCCCTAAGCTATGTATTTATCACACAGTTATCATTACATACCTTGATACCTTGAAAAATGAATGAATCCAGATGGTAAAGCCTTGGTTAAGACATAAAGCCTTTTATTAGGAGTAATTAACATAGCTTAGTGACCCAGGTGTCTAAATACTGTTTTTTGGATTACATACCATACACAGTAATCACCTGGTACTTGCCTCATCATACACATTTTAAAAATGTGCTGCAAACTTTGGCTTTGTTTTAAAGCCTTTAAAATGATCAGTAAGCAAGAAGGATCTAGTTAATAGAGTCTATGGGATTTCCAAAAGGCTTCTCACCACATCTCCTGAAGCAGACTTATTTTGAAAGAACCTTAAGCCATAACAGAAGACTTAAGCCTAAAATAAGAACTTCACTCTTATGTTTGATAAATAATTAACAGATGGGAAGGAAATTGGAGAAGGGAGTATGAGTTAATGGTTAACTCCTGGAATGGAGGAAACTTGCCACTACAATTCTGCAGAGATCAGCGCTGGGTCCTGGGCTATCCAGTACATTCCTAAATGTAACCTTGTGAAAAAAAGGGAACCCTATGAAGACTGAGATGAGCAACTTTGCTGCTGATGCTAAGTTAGGCCAGTAAGGATGTGCTCTGCCAGAAGAATTGTGCCAGGACTTTATGAGACTGGATGGCAAATAACATCACAAATTCAACATACACAAACACCTGAAATCCATGCAGTAAAAAAAGAGATGAAGGATTTAAAATACTGCAACATGAGAATCCTGACTCATGTATTTATAAAGCATGACATATGCCTCAATTGTGACAGGACAGATACTTATTTAATTCTATAAAGCTACTTAAGTTTTAAAGATGTTATTGGTGGTGTCTCAAATTGTGAGTTGACACAGGCAGGCAGCCAGAACAGTTAAAAACTTGCAGTTAGAACAAAACAAATAAATTTATTTCCATTTACCTTGCCAATAAGGGGATCCCCAGAGCAGCAGCCAGGCAGATGCACACAAGCAGAGATGGTTCATGCTAGAGGATCACTGGACTGTGGTTCTCAGAGGCTTATCAAGAGTTATTTCCGACTGCAAGGTCACTTGAGTGATTTACAATGCTTCTCAACAGTTTCCCAACCTTTAACCCATTCCTCCCAACACAAACCTAACAGGAGAGCTTCAATCTTGGCTATATGTCTGTGTGACTAGAAGCATATTTATTTACCCACCATATCTATACACGATATGTGGGGTTTTAGTTAGGCAAAAGGGGAGGTAGTATTGATATTTTCAGTTACAAAAAATGTATCAGTATGCCTACTGATAAAAAAACCAAAACCAAAAATCAATGAATGAACAACTATCTCACAATTAAGTGCAAGAGTTACACTCAGTGAGTTTCTGACATAGCATTTTAAGGCAGTAGTTCCATCTAACTATGCTTTGGTTGTAAAGAGCATCTTGAAAAGAGATTTTGGAGCAAGACTGTTCTCTTGATACTGTCAGAGAGGGACATAACACCAAAACAGGAGTGAAAAACCTGCTATGCCACAATTAATCTATATACTCTGGGCAAGGAAAAACAGCAAGGCTTTAATGATGACTACACATAAGCTGCTGAAGACTGAATCTAGAAAATATATAAGCATTTAATACAGATCACAAATATGGTGAGTTCTGCAATTTCTGCCTTTACCGGATATTATAATTACAATTTTTATCATTCAATCATAAATTCTGCCATCAGTGCAGACCAACATACTTTTTTTTTTTGCTACACTCTATGAAAGTATTGGTTCAAATGTAAAAAATTGACAAGTGCTTTGGTATCTCATAAGCAAGCTACTTTTGATAAGCACTTAAAACTGTCACATTTACATGACAGTTAATGTGGTTGAAAGTGCACAAGCTTAAAGGTAATGTTGGGAATATTTTGTGGCATTTCTACATTACTTTTGTTTCCATGAACAAGGAATTACGATTCTCTCAGAAATACAGAGAGATACTTACTTGGACACAGAGAACAAAATTTGTAAGAGGCCATGAATTTATTCTTCCATTCAAGGAAAAATACAAATGTACCTTGTCAAGCAGCTATTTCCATAAAAGTAGTTTTTAGTAAAATATATGACCAGTTTGACATTGAATGGAAATTTTATCAGCACTACTTACTTATCTAACAGATTTATGTGTAGTATCTCCCTCAAAGCACCAAGCACTTATGTTTTTATTGATAAGGAACCTCTGGGGCTCAGATATAGTCCAAAACCTCATACTTTGGATGTAGTTTATCAGTCATTAAGGTCACTGTCACCTACACTAAACTAGACATAAGAAGAAATCTAGCTTGTAAGAAAGTAATTGTCTTGTAGCCTTCATGAAGAGTTAGAGAAGAATCTAGAAGTTCAGTTTCAGGGTATTAAAAAATGCCTATATAAATAAGAAATTACACTCACATTTCTAGGTGTTATTTCTAGAAAGGACAACAGCAGTACTTAAGTATTCATTGTATCTATGACATATCTATGTAAAAAAAAAAGTTTTCACAGCTGTGGTGAAGATATAGGTTGAACATTTTTGCAGACATATGTGATTTTTTTTTACAGCACCTTATTAAAAAAATACAAACAAACAAAACAGAAATAAATGAATTAGAAAAAAATTAGTCCAAGGTTTATGCATTGTAAAAGGAAAAATATCCTATAAAATCTAAGATAGATGGTTAGGGAGCTGGCATTCATGACCTGAGAAGTCATGCAGGAGGAAGGTTGTTTTCTTCACAGCCAAAGTGAATGGTGCGGTGCAGGGACAGAAGGTTTTGCTGCCTTAGGTCTGGTGACTAGAGAAAGGTGAGCTCAGATTCCTTCTGACATTGTGGAGCAGAAGGATCAAAGGCAGCTGTGAAAAAAGGTTGCAGCAAAGAAAGTTCCACCCCCTATAGTCAGCTGGTCAGAGAGAAAGAGAGGTGATGTCTATAAAAATTAGAATACAGATGAGAAGGAGCAAAACCAGAGATGTGTAGCTGCATGAATAGCAACTTAACATGTATCTGGAACAAGATTTATAGCAACTTCTGACTCCATTGACCATTATGTTACATAGTCTTCAGTTCCCAGGATATTCTTGATGCAGGCATAAGTACTTAATTGCATAGTCTGTGTTACATAGTTGACATCTAATTAGTTACATTACACTTTATTAAATTTTTTTTACATCTCCTCATCTCCTTCTCCTCAAACGACTTT